GGGTAGATGGTGAGAAGCAACTCTAACAAATTGTCCTCTGACCTACACACACACACACACACACACACACACACAATTTTAAAACTTACTTTTAAGGACTATCATATTCTGTAACACTATCATGGGTAAGAACTGGAGGGTAACCAATGGCAGACTGTAAGCCTCAGTTTTCTTATCTGTCAATGGGGATTATAAACTGCCCATACTGCCCACAACTGTGAAGACTGAGGCAATGCATGTGAAGTACCATAGCGTGTGGTACAAACAAAAGACTCAGTGAGGGCTACTATAAAGGGGCTTGGATTTTTTTGTTTGTCTTTTACCAAAAGAAGAAGAAGAAGAAGAAGAAGAAGAAGAAGAAGAAGAAGAAGAAGAAGAAGAAGAAGAAGAGTCGTCAAAAGTTTGTTTGAATGGCCATTAAGTGAGCCAAGTCTGTAAACAAGTCTGTAAAATGGAAATAATTATGGTTGTAGAACCCATTTTTCTCCACAGGTAAGAACAAGTTCTAATAGGTTGTCCACATTGGTTATGTAACTGGACTCCATCCTGAGCTTACTAAGGAAGCATTTGTCCAGGGGCATATTATTCCTCCCACTCCAAACTGTTAAGCCTGAAAAATGACTGTTTAATAAAAGAACGTTTCAACATTCAATATAATGAACTTGGCCCTGACACTCCTAAAACATAAGAGTTAAGGGGGTGGATGATCCAAATGAACTGACAGTCAAAGTTCCTTGGAAAGGACAGTTATAAAATCGTGCTAGCTTATTACTTAAGATCTCTAACTGCTAATGTTTTCTAGCTTAGAAAGCCAGACTGAGATCACTACAGCTCTTTCTTTTTCATCTGTTCCTCCACTAACAAGCCCCCCTCCACACCAACCACTATTTTATCTTTGCTTCTTGCCCAAACAATAAATATAAGGCTTACTGATGGAGTGAGAGTTATGAGGAAAACATTTAACATAACAGCCAAAACAGAGGGCTGAAGACATGGCCCAGTGGTTGAGAGCACAGGCTGCTCTTCCAAAGGACCCAGGTTTGATTCCCAGCACCCACATGGTGACTCACAACCATCTGTAATTCTGGTTCCAGGGGATCTGATGTCCACTCCTGTTTCTTGTGGGTGCCAGGCACCCACATGGTCACAGACATACATATAGACAAAACACTCATACACATAAAACAAAATAAATCTTAAAAAACAAACAAAACCCAGACAGACCAAATGGAAGTTCACAGGCTATATATAGTTCCAGAGTAGAAACCTCCAGAGTTAAGTATTATTTCACCAGTCCAAGCCCTGGGCTGAGATTAAGGTGTCAGCTTGAGGATGTCCCCTGTGGGGCTGGCTGGTAGGTGCCGGTGGCTACTGGGACCATCGGGGAAACGTGGTCCTTGAGCAGTAATGCATAGGTGCTCATAGCAAAGAACCAGCCCATAGGGAGGCCTGTGGAGGGCAGGGTTTTTAAACATTAAGGAGTTAGGAAGACTAGAATAAGCCCTGTGAAGGAAATGAGAGCCCAGGACCTGTAGGTTTGAATGGCCACTGATGGGTGAAGAAACAGGTACACATCCACAGGTAAGTTCTCAAATTGGTTCACTAAAAGGACACGGCAGCAGTGTCAGCACAGCTGGCAAGTAAGCTCAGTCCAGCATCACTCTCAACTCTTACGCCAAGATGTTTGTGGGGAAATGGTTCATTGCCCCAGGACTGGGGTACCGAGCATTCCGGATGACACCTGGAGTCACCAGAAATGTAACAAAGTATTCCAAGGAGCATGGAGAACATGTGAGGATGCTATAGCTTGCCTACAAGTACTCAGGAGCCCTGCAGATATAAAGCAGGAAACAGTGTTGCCTACCGATGGGAATGCATGGGATGATGAAACTACCTGACAGATGGAATGTCAATCAAATGCAAACACAATGGTAAAATGACACAATTGCCACTTGGCAATAAGTGATTCAAATAAAAATTATTAATGGATGTTAAAACTAGAGTATCAAGTTTGAGAAAAGAAAGATTACAATAGTCTCAAAGTCGCCCCCTACCCCACTTATTCCTCCTTAATAAGTACCTGTGGTGTTCACTTACCATATCAAAACACCATGTGGTGGGAGAGGCATGCATTAATTTCTTAATTGTAAATTAAGACAATTTGAAGACAGCAGCTAGCTGCTGGCAGCACACACCTTTAATCCCAGCACTTGGGTGGCAGAGGCAGGCGGGTCTCTGAGCTTGAGACTAGCCTGGGCTACAGAGTAAGTTCAGGACTGCCAGGATTATACAGAGAAAACCTGTTTCAAAACAAACAAACAAACAAACAAACAACAACAAAACCAACCAACCAAACGAAAACTCCGAAGACAGCATGCCCAATTGTTAAACTTTAGCATGACTAGTAACGGGGAAACTGATCCATGTACTTCCTGACATAATAAACACAGGGCGGTGTTTCTCAATCTAATCACTAATAAATATCCCACAAGCTACAGTGAGGCTCATTCTGTAAAGTAATTGGCCTGCACTCTTCAAAAATGCCCAGCCTATGAGAGAGAAACCAAGCCAGTGCTCCAGTTGAAGGAGACTAAAGGAAATTAAATTGAAGTAGTCAATAGGGGGAGGTATTAGAAGAGCACTTGAGAAACAAATGACAGCTATTTCCAGTGAGGCGTTCATTGTGATTCCTTTCCAACCTCTGGTGAAACCCAAGACTGTCAAAAAGAGGACCCAGAAGCACCTTCATCTGGCACAAGTCAGACCAATAGATCAAAGTTAGGTACAACTGACAGAAATCCACAGGTACTGACAACATGGTGTGAAAGGAGATGAGGGGCCAGAGCCTGATGCCCAGCGTCGGTTATGGGACAAGAAAACTGGACACATGCTACCTAGTGGCTTCCAGAAGCTCCTGGTCCACAGCATCAAGGATCTGGAAGAGCTGCTGGTGTGAGCAACTCTGACTGTGTGAGCTCACTCACAGCATTACCTCCAGGAGCTCAAAACCATCACAGAAACAGCGGCACAGCTGGCTCACCAATTCCAGTGCCAGGCTAGGAAAGTGAACAGACGGCTCACGTGCATGTTTTGCTTGTGCTTAGAAAAAAACAGCTGCAAATAATAGCAACATCTGGATGGGGACTGTACATGACATGGTGGTTTTATCAATGTTCATTTCTTGAGAAGTGATGTGTGGTAAGGAGCATCCTGTTTTGTTTTGTTTTGTTTTGACCCCCAAAATACATACTGAAAGGAACTGGCATTATCAACCACCCTTATCTCATCAATTCTATCGAAGTCCTGTTTTTATTTTGATTTGAGGATAGTTTCTCAAAAATAAACGTTAGTGGCTTAAGAGCAGGGCTAGAAATGAGAAGTTCAGCCTTCACTTGAACTTGCTGCAGTATGTCCTGCCTTTTCCCTGCGTCTTCACTCCCTTGTTCTCTCACCAACAAAGTGAGGTCAAGTCCCAGAAAGACTTGTAAGATGTATCCAGGAGGGTTTAGTATCCCTCAAACCCATCTGTCTCTCAATGAATTGGTGATCCCTACTGACACCCTTTGCCTTACATGATGAGCAATACTCAAAAGGGAAACACAGGCTTGCACACTATTTCTCACCTTTAGCGGCTGTGACATGATGGAAGTCAATCTCCTCATGCTAGAGTCCCATCAGGTGCTGTCCTTAGAGCAGATGAACTGGAGGCATTATCTCTAAGCAAAGTAAAGAGACCAAGGAACTGACATGGCACACTGGATTCTTTTGGTCAGTCTTGCTGTGGAATCCAGACTGGCTGTGGATTGCCGATTCTTCTGCTTGGGCATCTGCATGCCAGGAAACTAAGAGGGGGAGGGTGCTGCCATGCCCGACTCTGGGTACTAGACTCTCCACAGCTGGCCTCCTATTCCAACCCTGCCCAGAACCAGCCTTGTGCCTCTCAAACAAATCCTTCCTATCCCATAGCTTTATTCATTCAGTATCAATATGCGTTTGACTAGATAAATTCTATGAAGACCTCTCTAGACACTGCATTGTAAGATTTGAAGTAATACATTTCAATAGCGCCCCCCACCACCCATTCCTATTAAGATGGGGCTTTTTGCAGAAATTGATGAACTGATTCCAAAATTAACATGGAAATGCAAAGGAGTCCGTACAGATAAGAAAGTCCTGAAGGGAAGCAGGTTAGGGGATTCAAACGTCCCGTCTCACAGTTGACAAACAGGAAGTGGTCCAGATGGTGTAACACTGGCACGAAGACACAGAGATCAATGAAACGGAACTGGATGGGCAGACACAAACTTGGATTTGGTCAACCAACTTTCAACAAGGCAAAATAATCTGATAGGAAATACAACGAATGATACCAGGCCAACTGGACATCCACATGCAGGAAAAAATGAAATTACCTGCTTACCTTATAATTTAACATTGGTTAAAAAACAAACAAAAACCTACCTGTAAGAGCTGAAACTGTAACATTAGGAAAAAAAGTCTATCTTTGCAACTTTGGATAAAGTTTTTTAAGGATGGTTTTTAAAGGCAAGATGGCTTAGGCTTAGCAGGCAGTGTTTGTCACCAAGCCTGACAACTTTAGTTTGCTAACTGAGTTCCATATGGTAGAAGAGGAGAATGGACTCCTGCAAGTTGTCCTCCGACCTCTGCACACATGCTTTGGCAATTGTGCAACTGCCCCCACCACCAAATAAATTAAAACATTCAAAATAAGAGAATGCTTTTTAAGAATGATACCAATAATGCAGGTAATTAAAAAGGGGAAAAATGGACCTTAAAATTATAAATTTTGTTTAAAATCACATGACCAACAAAGTGAAGACAAGCCACAGAAATATTTACCACTCATGTATAGAAGTATCTAGAAAACATACAAAACTTCTAACCATTAATGACAAAGGAACAGTTTACAAATGGACAAAGGAGCCGAAGAGGTATTACCTCAAAGACACATAAACATCCAATAAGTACAGGAAACACAGCACGCTCAACATAATTGTTTATTAGGGAAATACAAAGCAAAACCTCTTCTCACATGCTAGGGATGGTGAAAATAGAAGATGGAGTCAAGAATACATGTGACAAAAACAGAACATTTCTACATCTGCCAATGGGAACACGAAATGGCACAGCTACTCCCCAAGACAGTCTGTAGTTCCTTAAATGGTTAACCAGTTACCATATGACCCAGGAATCCTGTTCTTAAGCATACACACAAGAAAATTTAAAATACAAATCCTTATGTTTTAAAAAATCTTGTACAAGAACATTCAAAGCAACATTTTTTTTTGTAGCAGCCAGAAACTGGGAACCACTCAATGTACATCAACTGATGAACAGACATGACACCGAAACAAAGGAGTGTCAAATCAAATAACCATAAAACGGATATTGAAAGTGTACACCTATAAATCCCAGCATTCTAGAGGCAGGAGGATTATAAGCTTGAACCCAGCTTGAGCTATACAATGCAAGACCATGCCTCAAAGCAAACAAAAATGATGCTAACACATTACTACATTAATGAATCTTGAAAAACAATTGAAATGAAAGAAGACACAAAAGGCCACATGTTGCATGATTTTTTTTTTTTTTAATGAGATGTCCAGAAGAGACAGAAAGATTGATGATTGACTAGGGAGAAGTGAAAATGGAGTGCAAAGGTTACTAGGTTTCCTTATGGAATGATAAAAAGTATTCTGGTATTACATAGTAGCAGTTGCACATTCTGGATACACCAAAACCAGTATATTTTAAGATTAAATATTTTATGGTATGTAAACTACACAAACACAAAAAAAGGCGAACAGCCCCTCATACAAAAACTGTTTTCTAAGCTATTGTTTTAGGTAACCTATTGATCCACAGAAATATAGAAACAACTGCAACAATACTTGACGTGTATAATTGCACTGAAACAAATACAATAAGCAGCCCTCAACCTTCAGACCTGGGCCTCACACATGCTAGATATACTGAGCTATATCCCCAGACCCTTTCTCTTTCTTTTGAGAAGGATCTTATGTGGTCTAGGCTGGCCTTAAACCAAGTTTGAATGAAGTGATGAAATTACAGGCATGTGCTATCATGCCATAAAAACTTCTTTTTAAGAAAGCTCCTTGCGGTTATCGGCTGACAGTTCACATGCTGTATGTATTCTTGCTTCTCAGAGCTGATCTGCGCTCATGATCCATCTCACTGCTGTCTTTAAAAGTCATGTTTTTCTTTCCTAAGTAGCCGAGGCTGTAATGAAGTTCTCCATCTCAGGAATTTTAGGATAATGTCATCTAGACACAGGCAGAAATATTGTTCTCTAATGGCATTATGTAGAACAGCCATCTTCAAGCAGTACTTTGAAATTTAATTCCTGCTCATAGGACAGCAGAAAGACTAGGCAAGAAATAATTTAGATAAAAGTATTACCATGGAATAGATACAGCCAGAAACTTTATACCATGTAACAACTGCAGGTTTTCTTCTCCTGGAATAGAAATAGAATTACAGGCTTCCTCTATATAGTAACGAGGAAAAAGAGGAATGTATCGTGACTGCTAAAAAGAAAACATACTCTTTACACTCATCTCTGCAACTGCTTTTCAGTATCCAAAGGCTTCAGCGCTGTAATCTACAACAGAAGGCTCTGTTAGCACATAAAACTGAATAAAAGGCTAATTTTAGCCTGACAGTAGATCACTTGGTTAAACAAGATCAAGGCTTCTCTAAATGCTATGTTCAGAGAGCAAGGCTTAAAGCTTAAGCAAGCAGCAAGGACTGCCTGAGTACGCTGCCTTCTAAGAACTAAAACAACAGGTTGCAATGGGACAACATGGTTCATTGTTCAAGTCAATGGAATTGCATTATTTTCAGTTTTTACTCTTAAGCAGGATTCTTTGAACTGTATCAAGGGTGGCAATTACCCCAGTTCAGTACTATTTTTGTAGTAATAAGCATAAAATCCAACCACTGTTTATATAACCTTAGAAAACAGGCTAAGAAAGGAACACATTTACACCCTTTAGTTAAATTATACTGTTACCTTATAAAAATGTGAGGGTCAACATGTTTTTTTACAAAGAGAGCATTGGACAGTTTCAAATACAGCTGCTTGGCTAATAGTTGTGTCTAAACAAAATATCTGCAGAACTGGTAAGACACTAGGCTTTCTTTATGCTGGTTTTTGAGACAGGGTCTCACTCACTATGTAGGTAGCTCAGGCTGGCCTCTAACTCACAATCCTCCTACGCCAGCCTCCCGAGTGCTGCTGGGATTCCAGGCGTACGTGCCACACTCAGCTTCAAGGCTTTCTTTTAGATGACATTTATTCAAATGATGAGGTTGGAAATTCAAATTGAACAACAACAAAAAATCTTCATAAACAAGAAATGGGAGAAATAAACATTTATTTCTAAACTAAACGTGTGCCGCCTCATACCACACTGAAGGTAGACAGCAGAGACTCCATGCGGAGGCAACTGCATATCAGAATTCAAAACGGTCTAACAGCACAATGCACTTTTGTTGTTGTTTCCCCAGTTTTTCTATCTGTCTCTTTTACAGCATATCCTTTCTATACAATTCTCCTTGTTCATTCCAGAAAACATAAGAAACTGTCTGCAAAATGCATGCATACCAGTTTCTGTAAGGCCATGAACTGGGCTGCTAGGTTGCACTGTTTGTTTTTTTTGTTTTTTTGTTTTTTTTCAAGTAATGAACCCTTTGGAGCAAGGGATCTGCAGAGGAAATCAACACTTTCAGCTCTGGGCCTGTCTTTCCGCTGGGCCTTTAGCATTCTGCAAGGCAGAGCATTTACAAAATGGGTTCTATTTACATTTTCTTTCTTTCTTTCTTTCTTTCTGTATTCAGTACTGGGAATTAAATCCCGGGCCTTGCACATGCTAGGCAAGAGCTCTACCACTGAGCTACACCCCAGGCCCTTGATTCTTATTTTTCAAAATCTAATACATGCTCACGTTTTCTTGCAGACTCTTTTTGTATGTTACAAAACAAGACAGCGAAAGCTTAGCCTCAGATGAGAACCCTTTCTTCCTGAGAAAGGTCAAGCAGACACTTCCTGACATCATGTCCTTTACACAATGGCATACTGTTCATATAAAAGGTCTCGTATCCTATAAAAGTCTTGACAAAGGCAGCCTTCTAATCCGATGCGTCCAGTTTCTGTCTAGAAAAACAGTTTAGAAAGTTTTTTTTAGTACATCTCCTGTCCATCAACATGAAGAAACAATAAGCAACATCTATAACACTGACTGTGACTGGTCAGGAAATGGGTTCCCCTAACTCTGGAATATAGGTACAATATAGTAGTAATAAGTTTTTACAGACACATAAATGTCAGAGGATTCAAATAATAAAAATTGACTATAAAATTATGTGCCGTGCATTTAAATCACTGTTATGAGTCTTTAAGGCCAACACTATGAATGTAAATGGCTGGTTTTCAGTTTTAGGAAATTATTAGAACTATAGATAAATATGACAAAGCCTCAGAAGCAAACACACATTTCAACCCAGCCATTTCTAAAAATAAACTTACAGACTTGCCACCTGCAGGACGGACCACCCAGAGTCTGGCCACACCTCAGCCTTGGGAACCCCTATGCCCTCCACTTGAGTCTTAGCCCTCCTACGCCCTCCGCTTGAGTGAGGAGAACACCAGGAGAGGCCGGACCATCCGGAGTTGCTGACATTGAAGTCTTGGCCTACCTACACCCACCGGGAGACGAGAGGAGAGGGAGAGACACCACCTGTACCCACTCGAAGAAGGGACAGGAAGACGACAGTATAAGAACACACTCAACAACAGAAAGACCAATATGATACCACCATAATCTAGGGGCTTTACACCAGCAAGACCTGAACATCCCAACACAGATGAAGCAGAAGAGAAGGACCTTAAAAACAATTTTATGAAGATGATAGAAACCCTCAAAAAGGAAATGAGAAAATCCCTTAAAGAAATGGAGGAAAAGACACACCAAAAAATTCAAGAAATAAACAAATCTCTTAAAGAATGCAAAGAAAGCCAAGAAAAAACAACCAAACAAGTGAAAGAAACAATTCAAACAGTTCAAGGCTTGAAAGCTGAAAACAATAAAGAAAACACAGAATGAGGGAATGCTGGAAATAGAAATGCTGGGTAAATGATCAGGAACGACAGATGTAAGTATAACCAACAGAATACAAGAGATGGAAGAATCTCAGGTGTTGAAGACTCACTAGGAAATACAGTCATAGACCAAAGAAAATCTCAAGTCCAACAAATCCCTAACAAAATATCCAGGATATATGGGAAACAGTGAAAAGGCCAAACCTAAGAATAACAGGTACAGAAGAAGGTGAAGAAACCCACCTCAAAGGTACAAAAAACATATTCAACAAAATCATAGAAGAAAACTTTCCCAATCTAAAGAAGGATATGGCTATGAAAATACAAGAAGCTTACAGAACACCAAATAGACTGTACCACAAAAAAAAGTCCCCATCGGCACATAATAATCAAAACACCAAACTTACAGAATAAAGAAAAAAAATTAAGAGCAGCAAAGAAAAAGACCAAGTAACATGTAAAGGCAGACCTATCAGAATTACACCTGACTTCTCAATGGACACTCTGAAAGCCAGAAGGTACTGGATAGATGTTCTACAAATGCTAAGGGAACATAGATGTCAGTCCAGACTACTATACCCAGCAAAGCTTTCAATCACTATAGATGGGGAAGCAAGACAAAACCAGATTTAAACAATACATATCTACTACTCTAGCCCTTCAGCAAAGTGGCAGGATACAACATTAACTAAAAAAAAAAAAAAAAAAAAAAAAAAAAAAAAAAAAAAAAA